GTTTTGTAAGTGGGTTAGATGCTACTAACCGCAACAAACGTGACTTGATCGTCTTTATAGAATATTTCATAACAAGTAGTATATGAATGACTGGAAAAGTTTCCCTGGAAGCACGCGACCGGTTTCCTGGTTCTTGCTTCTCTTCCGGCACGCATATCCGGTAATCTTTTGTCAGTTCATTCATATACTTGTCTAGTCAACCATTCTACTACTTATTGTGAAATGTATATTCTTCAATCTGTCTGCTTTCGAAAGAGTAAACTGCGCAAACCGTGCACCAGTTGTACTCATAAACTTTGAAGACCGATGTGTTCAAACGCGTTAGTCTTCTTTTGTATATCATCACTGAAGAAAATAGTTCCTTTACCGCCGCCGCTGACTGCCTCCGGTTGAACTTTCCTTCAGGCAATTCTTCTATTTCTTAAATCCGTGTGGCCTGATACGAAGTACGGTCAGACCATGTTCGACTTGACTTGGATGTGTCGTTTCGTGTTCGGCAACACCCGCCAACCTGACCGCATTATCCACTGTGTACTCCCTCATAACCTTTTTCTTCACGATGCTGTTCAGGCGTCATCGATCAAACTAGCGTACTTTGAGAATTCTCTTAAATTGGCAGGAACATCGGTGTGTTCAGAAGTAAAGATTGTATTTGTCACGGTGAGTTAGCACAGATAAACCATTGAAGAAGTGCACAATTATTTCATGCTTTTAAGAAGGATTTCGGTCACAGTATTGATTGGACCATCCGGCCTTGATTTCGTTGCGCAAGATCGGTTTCTCTTAAGCAGGAAAATTTGACAGACCGTTGTAAAAAGACCATATTCTTTAACTGTTCAGTCCACATTCCAGTAATCAAATCAGCTGGGCTGGCACTCATCTGACGTTTCATCTCCTAAATTGAGGCTGAAAGAAAACATGTCACAAGATTTTAACAATTCATATAATCTTCTCAATCACTGAGTTACAACAACCAGGCAGATACGTAGAAGCAGGTTAGTAAATCTTAGTTAATGGGTGTACACAGACGCAGAAAGACTTCTGAAATGAGAAACAAGGGGTCAATCGTATGACAAATAAACTAATTGCGTTAATAACTTGGGTTTCATCTTCTACTTGTGTCCATAATCCTCGGATTGAAAGCGTCCTCTTTACTGCTATTTTATATCACATCGCCGTTTTTGAAAATAGACAGAATAAAAAACGAGAGATCTTTTAGTTTTTTCAACCTGTGCTAGTGACGCATATTTGCACAACTATCGGTAATCGTCCCTCTTCCCACCCGAAGCAGGCATGCGCCACAGCACACATTCAAAATGGTTGTGTGATTCTAGTTCACCTCGCACATATGCAATGTACTGTGGTTTCGGGAATGACACCAAATACTATTCACGATAGATGAGTTTGAATTCAGTTCACTAATTACCCACGTTGAGTCAAGCACAATGTGTCGAATTAGAAATTAGTAATTACAAAAGTTTGTTGTAGCATGCGCAGGCTTTGCTGGTTCTATATGAATTTGGCAACCTATTCGCTCCCTTACACACTTAATGGATTGTTTTATATAGGTCATCGCTGCTCGTTTGCCGAGTGAGCTCAGGTAAAGGTCACCACACGTCAGGTGTGGTCTCAAACTTCACGCGCCACATGAAGTCACTTTCATGATTTCATCCGGTTATAGTATAGGTCCATCGAGTTTATATAACTCTGTCTCTCTCTCTCCACTCTCCAACTCACCCTTTTGTACTTTGCAGGTGTGCTTTACTTTTGTTGGACAATTTGGATGTGGATAGTCCTTGGGGTCCGTTGGGCACACTTGGTACAGCCGATTCCTTCCATTGTACTGCTACGACTGCTGCATCATCCAATATGGTGGTACCACGTTCTTTGAACGATTGGTTCGGTTTGACTGACTGTTGGGCCGCAGACACCCAAAGTACCGGTCTCGTACAGGCCGTTTTGCGTGAACAGACCATACAGTGGGTTTGTCGCGCGTTACGTACCGGCCAAGTGGATCGTCTGATTGCACCGCTCCTGGCTGCGCTACTTCATCCGGCCACAGTACGCATCAGTTTAAAAGCGCGTGTACTCCAACAGGTGGAACAAGCAAGGAAGCTTGGGCAACGTCCACGTTCGGCTCAGGCCGGGTTACCCGATCAGGTAGACGTTGCGAAAGAAGTCGATGATGCGGTTGGACAGGAACCGGATTCCGGTGAGAAAAAAAGAACGGTTTACTTCTTAAATTCTACCGGTTTTTGTTGTTTATAAGGCGGCGCCTTATTTACAAGCAATCACTGTGTCTATTACGCACAACACTGCACCGTGATAGGGCAATCGGGAATTGAGGCATATTCGACTCAGATATGTAGAATACTATATATGTACCATCAGCGTAAAGTTTTGGCTATCAGCAGAACATATTCCTTGCACACAAATTGTCACGGGGCCCACGAGATCATGGTCACCGATGGTTAGAGACGCTGAGTGATACGGCTGGGTGTTGTAAATAGTGGCGTTCGTGCATTTACTCATGATTCTTGTAATTTCAGTCTATATAAATGCACTATCTTCCGCTTGAATCTGCTCTCAACATCCTAATCTTCATTCCAAGTGGGCAACCAAAAGACAGCGACCAAAATCGGCGCATGAAAGTGCAAGGTTAATGGTTGTGAGAACTAAACTGAACACAGAAGCAGCAACAAACGCTATAGTCGAAAGCAGTCTGTTTGGAATAACACTGTGCTCAGATCACATGCAACGTCCTCGAGATTTGTAAGAAATCTACATGAATAGGGAAGAGCAGAGCGTTTGTAAACTTCATTGTGTTTGAATGTGACGCGAACGAGTGAATGACGGACACGTGTGATTACGCGCCAGTTTTCTCCCCACAGTTCAATTTTTATGTTTGATGAACCATGGGCAAAGATTGCCGGTTACTGTTCGAAAAACGGGACTCGTATGGCTGAGCGATTAGAATATGAATGATGTGTCAGCTAATATTAAGCATCGCAAATGGGGAAAGAACCACCAATCTGAAAAATTTATGAGTCTGCCGCATGGTGCTCTCTCAACCGCCATGTGTGTTACCTCATCAGTGGTACACCATTGGGTGATTCATACAGTAAAATAATGCGAGAACAAGTGCGATGTGGTCGTAAATAAACGAGTTGGAAACTACATAGAGGTATTTATTGTGGACATCGAAATCTAGTGTCAGTACAGATATATTTTAACCAATAGACTTCGAGGGAAGACTTTAGGTCGATTGTCACAATTGGACGGGAGCAACACCTGCATCACATGGCTCGTGTTTCATTCATAAACGGACCGTGGCACGCAATCAATATGACCTAAACATTTTTTGGGAATAGGTTGCATACGGTCTTTTCAAGATAGGATTTTGTATACTTGCGCCTCTCAGTATACCTTCATATTGTGATATATTAAGAGCGCGGTCAAGCTCTGTTCCGTTTGTTTGGTTGCTAATTTAAAAAAGTAGAATCTAATCGCGGCAGCTTCTCATAGTCGAACCATTTTTTCCCCATTCCATGAGACGCTCGGCTAAATGCTCGTGATGACCGAGCGCTTTAAATCGATGTCACTGAACTGCAGTTGCTCTTCCGTTGAGAACCTCTCCAACGTTGTACTCCTGTGATATTTAGTTGCATTAGTGTCGTTCGCTTATCCCATCTTGTTGGGTTCTTATGCGATCAGATTGCCAGTTGACATGACCGAAGGGCATATCCTCGGTGACTTCTTTTGCACTGTTAATCGAATTG